TCTCGGGGCCCAGCGCTGCGCCCGCCCGCCCCTCACCTCTGGCTCCGGGCGCTCCGAGGCCATCACACAGCCCTCCTGCGCCGGCCCGGGCCAGAGAAGCTGTTCCGCTGGTGACCCCTGACCCGGGTTCCTCGCTCCCAGAAGAAACCGGAAGCGAGTGGGAGGACTGAGACCTGAGCTTTCTGATTGGCTATCTTGGAAACCGGAAGAGGAACTAGTTGACGTCGCTAATGCCGCCGCAATGCAGGTGAGGATCAGGTTGGCGCTGGTGACTGCTAACCAGCCTCTGGTAACGGGACAGAAGGTGGGCTGGCCGAAGAGAGAGGAGTTGGGGCTGGGCGAAGAGGGCAGAGCCGGCGGCTGACGGATAAGGAGACGCGCGATGGGGGCGAGGCCTACTGGAGAGAGCGCGGCGCCGATGAGAGATGGGGGTGGAGCCCGGCTAATAGGAGACTTGAGACTGCGGCTGGGGCTAAATCGGGAGGGAGGAGGCCGCTCTGATTTGCTAGGGTGTGGGAAAGGATCAGGTTGCAATTTGGGAAGGTTAAGATGCAGCCCAAGGAAGATGGGTCGAGAAAGTGGCGCACTGACTCAGGCCCCGACCTAGGCTGTTGGATGGCCGCTGTTGGATGCAAACATAACAGGGGATCTGTAATTGGAAAGAAGCCCCAGGGTGGAAGAAATTGTGGGACCGCGATGGCCAAACTAATGTACTCCGAGGCTGTGGGTGGAATCCAGGATCAAGGCTCCTATCCTGCACATTGGCGAGTTTGCAAGACAATTTTGCTTCATTCTTCCTAGCCTGTTCTGGATAGTGTTAAGGATGAAGAAACGAAATAAAACTGTAGGCCATAGATGGAAAGGAAATGCTTTGCACACACCCCCTACCCTCCAGCCTATCAAATTGTTTGTCTAGTGCTTAGGGGCATGTGCTTTTTTGTTGTTGTTGTTGTTGTTTCATTTGTCATTTAGTTTCTTGCACTTGGTAGTCTCAGTAAATATTTATAGCTTGACTAATCTTGAAAAGGGCATAGAAATATTGGCACAAAGATAAAATGAGTGCAGATTAGTTCAGCAAGGAGGAGGCTGAAACATTGAATGTTGAGGGTAAACGAAGGGGCGGGGAGTGGCAGGTATTCAGCGGAACCTTCACGTGTAGGTAGATTTTCCAGAGATAGTGTCATTGGCAAGAACAGCCGGGTTCACAAGGTAGTTTCTAGGACAGAGAAAGTCTGGGTACGTATGTGGCAGAGGTGCACAAAAGATAATAAACCACAGGTGTTTAGGTCTGGTGAAAATTTCTCAGAATAGAGTGTACCTGATACGGAGAAAGACCAGACATGGATTAGGAGGTGACAAGAGAAAAGATTCAGTAGGTAGGAGGAATTGAGGTCAGATGAATGGGTGGAAAGGTCTAAGGGTTGATGCCGTTTGTAATCCAAATACCAAAGATAGAAAACAATCTGGCTCTCCCTGTGCCAGTGAGATCCCATGTCATTTGACTGGGGTTGCACACTGTCGCCTTGGCTTTTCAGCCTTTCTCTGTGTGTGTCACTGAGTAACCAACCTATTCATATTGATGCAGAGGGAGGAGAAGCAGCTTGAGGCATCATTAGATGCACTGCTGAGTCAAGTGGCTGATCTGAAGAACTCCCTGGGGAGTTTTATTTACAAACTGGAGAACGAGTATGACCGTCTGACCTGGTAAGGGTTGCCAGGGCAAGCTGGGGAGGGCTCCATGGGGGGGGGCCTCGCCACCTGGTGGATAGGACATCTCCAATGATGTAACAACTTATCTGTTTGGAAACATCTTGTGATTTAGAAAGAGCTGGGTTTCCCAATATTTGACAATACAGTTGGCTCTGGGCCTCCATTATAAGGAAGTAGAGAAATGCCCAGTTTCTCAAGCCAGGTTATTTCTGGCTTTTGGCTTCTCGGAGAGGACCTCCGAGAAGTGTAGTGGGAGGACCTCCTCCCACTACAGTATTCATACTGGATCTCTTGCCATGGGTGTTGCTGTGTCTTTTAGGTCCTACCTACTTTGGAAGTATGAATCATATTTTCAGGCTGGAAAAGAGGCTTTTACCTAGTTTCTGAATTTTTAGTGATAACAGCGTGGCCATGGTTCCTATTTTGCCACTGTTCTCATCCCATTCAAATACAGTAGTCCCCCTTTATCTGTGAGGGATAAGTTCCAAGACCCCCAGTGGATACCTGAAACCGCAATAGTACCAAACCTTATACTGTATATACTATGGTTTTTTCCTATACTAACTAGGTGTGTAGTATATACAGCATGGGTATGCTGGACAAACGGGTGATTAACATCCCAGGTGGGACAGAGCGGGACAAAACTAGATTTCATCATGTTATTCAGAATGGCACTCAATTTAAAACCTACGAATTGTCTACTTCTGGAATTTGCCATTTAATATTCTTGGGCCATGGTTGACCATGGGTAACTGAAACCATGGAAGGTGAAACTGTGGATAAGGGGGGACTACTATAACAAACTCCCTTTTTTCTCCATCTGTGTCAGAAACTGCAAATATGTCCCTCTTTCCTAACCCTATAATCCATGTGAGCCAGTCTAGTTCCCACCCAGACCAGCTGTAGGGCTATGAATCTTTTGGGGGTGAGTCTGGGTATTCCTAGTCTGAGGGGACCCCTTTGAGGCTACTTAACTGGGAATATTCTGACATCTTACCACCACCAGGCCCTCTGTCCTGGACAGTTTTGCCTTGCTGTCTGGACAGTTGAACACTCTGAACAAGGTCTTGAAGCATGAGAAGACACCACTGTTCCGTAACCAGGTCATCATCCCTCTGGTGTTGTCCCCAGACCGAGACGAAGATCTCATGGTAAGAGAGGGAGAGAGATACAACTTCGAAAATGAAGTTCTTGAATGAGGACCTAGAGCACAGTTGTTGGTTGGCTCTCATACAGTAGAGGGTGGCAGTAAAAAGTGAGGGCTGCATTTTGGAGGCCTTGGTTTTGGTCCTCTGGAATCTGGGGAGCTACTCCCAAAAAGTGCTGAATTAACCTGAGGCATATGTACCTGAGGCAAAGACCTTTCTCCTCCAACACCTGTCTCAATCAAAAAGTATGTTCTTTTGTGACTTTTTCTATTTCAATCTTTGATTAAAATGTGGCAGAGAGAGGTTTGCCCCTAGGTCTGGTAGAGATAGGGATATGAGAAGACAGAAGTGAAAGAAGTGAAGTGTCCTAAGAAGGCAGATATTGTAAGTCATAGGTTGTGTTTTCCCTGAAGAAGTACTGTGTGTCTGTGGAAGGAACTATGTACATAATAGGCCAGATTGAGTCTTCTTGGAGTGCATAGTAGAATCAATAAAATCTGTGTGTTACAGCGGCAGACTGAAGGACGAGTACCTGTTTTCAGCCATGAGGTGGTTCCTGACCATCTGAGAACAAAGCCTGACCCTGAGGTTGAAGAGCAAGAGAAGCAGCTGACAACGGATGCTGCTCGCATTGGTGCTGATGCAGCTCAGGTTGGATCGAATCACTGCCCTGCTGACCCCACCCCCAAGCTTTATCATGAGAAGCTAGGCATTACCACTCCTGTGTGGTAGGGATGCACAGTTGTTTATACCTAAGTTGTCCCTGGAAGAATACAAGGAAGAAATTTCCTGTAATAATGTCTTGCTTGTCCTAAACTCTGCACAAATGTATGTGTGTTACAGAAGCAGATTCAGAGCTTGAATAAAATGTGCTCAAACCTTCTGGAGAAAATCAGCAAAGAGGAAAGAGAATCAGAGAGTGGAGGTATGGAGGGATTGGTGACAAAATAGAGAAGGAAAGAGGGATAAAATCACTGGAATAGAAAGGGTGGTTTTGGTAGCAGTGAAGTGAGGACATAGAATGAGCTGCTCAGGAAAGGGTACGCATCCATGCTGTCAGCCTTTTGTATTTAAGGCCAGCTCTGGGGCAGGTGGGAAAAATGGGCAAAGTGAGAAAGGAGAATTTTAAGATAGTCATGGGCTCCTCTGGCTCTTCCTCTGAGCTGTCAGGGAGTCTAGATGCTGCTGAAGTCAGAACTCCAAGTCCTGGTACTCATACTGGTCTTTCTGCTGCTTGGTTGAGTCCAGCGCTGGAGGCACACCTCAGGGTCCTCACTTACCTTTTTCTTCAGGTCTCCGACCGAACAAGCAGACCTTTAACCCAGCAGACACCAATGCCTTAGTGGCAGCTGTTGCCTTTGGGAAGGGGCTATCTAATTGGAGGCCTTCAGGCAGCAGTGGTCCTGGCCAGCCAGGCCAGCCAGGAGCTGGGACAATCCTTGCAGGAGCGTCAGGATTACAGCCGGTGCAGATGGCAGGCGCTCCAAGCCAGCAGCAGCCAATGCTCAGTGGGGTGCAGATGGCCCAAGCAGGTCAACCAGGTAAGGTAACATGGCTTGGCATGGTGACAGACCTTGAGCAGGAAGTGGGAATGAGCTGGGTTACCTGGGCTCCCAGCATCCCCAGAACTGGAGATATTCCCCTTTTCTCCCTTGGACTGTGACCCAGAAAAAAATTTTAGGAGTAAAAATCTCATTAGAGGCTGTTAACAGGCACCAGACAATGCGGAAAGAACTTTGATTAGCATAAACTGCTCTCACCTCCCAGCCCATTTCAGATCTGTCTCAACTGCCCTTCTGTGCCATTTACTCTGGACATTAGATGTGTTGTCAGTGTCTTATCTTAGAGAAATGCATGGTTAGGCCTTAATTAGGACCCCTGGGTAGGTGCATTGGGAACTGACAAGCAGGCCAAGTTTCCCAGTTCTACATGTATTCTTTTCTCTGTATCCTGTCTTTCCTGTTCACTTTTAGTAATTATAAGAAAAATTTGGAGGAGTTCAGATGCAAATAGCTAGAAGAGATATTTTCTTCCAGGCTGTCTAGGCAAAGGAACAATTAAAATAAGAGAACATAGCACTCTTTTACCTGTGACATTAAATGGTGGTCACACAGGTTTAGCTCTCTTTTACCAGAAGACTGCCGGGGTGTGTTCTGATCCCTCCCCTAATTCCTCCTCCTAGACACCTTCAGGGAAGGGCTGGGTGAGGAGCCATACCTCTGAGCCTTGCCGCTCAGGGTCAGATGCCACAGAGATTCTGAGATGGTAGAGACTGTGACAGATCACATTTCTGATTCACTGTCAAAGTCTTCCTGTGCTTCAGGTGTCTTCCTTCATGTTCCTTTTAGGGAAAATGCCAAGTGGAATAAAAACCAACATCAAGTCGGCTTCAATGCATCCCTACCAGCGGTGAGTGTGGCTGGCAACCTCCACCCCCAGGTGCTCTTTGCAGAGTTGGGCCGTGAAATTGCCTTTTGCCCAGAGCTGACCTAGATGGGTACAATAAAAAGAACATGGGCTTTCAGCAACAGACAAGTCCCATCTCCACTGCTGACTAGTGGTGTGATCTTGGGCAAGTGACCTAATTTTTCTGAGCCTGTTTTCTTGTTTATAAATGATGAAAATACCTACCTCATAGGGTTGTTGTGAGGATTAAAATAAGAAAATGAATGTAAAACACTTAGCATGGTCTATGAAATAATGGGTATTTAATAAATGAGACTTTCTACAGCCACTTCTCCCCACCGCCCTCCTCAATCCAGAACTTAGCCTGATCTGATACAGCTTCATGTCTGTGGTGAGTTGATGGACACAAGATCATGGACCACTCAGCTCTGTTTGAAAGCCTGTGCTTATTTTGTGCTGCCAGAACTGTGACAGCCTCTGTGTCCTTAGGGGCCTACTATCTCCACAGGCCTTCCTGCCCAGGTTCCATCCTGGCCATCTCTTCAAGCTGCAGATGACGAGGCTTCTGGGCTGGGACAGACCGCCCACTTGCAGCTCTGGTGAAGCTCAGGCCTGCTCTGCTCTCCATCCTCGGAAAAGCCAGTTTAGCTCTTATCTGAGATACTGTCACAAAGTGCTCTATCCTTTACCCCACCAAACACTCATGAAGGAAGATACGGAAGGCCCAGTGGGTGGGGGCTTTCTCAGGAAGTGGCTCTACCAGGCAGGACTGTATGAGAAAGGGTTTTTCTTAGAATATGAAAAAGCCCCTTGTCCCCCAGACTCATTTACTTATTTTGGAGGGAGAGGGGAATAGTATTTCACACCATCTTTCATCAGGGTTGCATTATCTTCACATTGTGCCTGGTTCCTGGGCTCCAGGCAGAATGGCTTTCCTCAGTCCACTGAGCCTGTGGCTCCAATAAGGGCCAGGTGGATGGTAGGAGGCGGCAGCCGTCAGGACCTTTGCCTGCATTTATAAAGCTGGAGAGCAAAGTGGGCTTGGGTCTCCAGCCTAAGCTGCCTTTCTTAGCGCTCCTTTGTGAGCCAGGGCAGGGGTTGAGTCAGCAGAAGTGGGCCCAAGGGTTCTCCGAATAAAGTTATGTCAGTTGATGGCTGCTGTGTCAGGGTTATCTGACAGCAAATAAACTGAGAGAGCTATGCAGGAGTTGGAGACTATATGTCAGAGACTTTCAAGGTTGCTGCAGGGCAATTCTAATTTGTTCTCCATAAAAAGTGTTCTTTGATTAGCTTTGATCTAAAAGTCCTGAGAGGTAATAGGAAGGACTGCTTATACCTTCCAGCTGCCTTTTTTCAATTCTTTTCTGTCACACACCAGTACTTTGGCATTTGTTCAGTGTCAGGCAGAATCCTGCCAGGCTGTGGCAGCAAAGGACTGGAAAAGTGGTCACAGATGTCACATCCATTCCTGTTCCATCAAGACGAGAAATGGTATCCACACAGCTCACTGACCACAGTATGCAAGAGCATGGAAATTCTGTCATTGGCTCTGAGGCAATGTCACACCTTTCCGCTACTTCAACAGTGCTACCTTACTGGTCCGTCAGCCCATTCAGGTGTTCCTTATCTTCCCTCCCCGCAGGAATTGTCACCTCTAAGTCTCATATTAGGTTGAGTTCAAGGTGCACTTCTCTAAAACCCCTGGAGCATCTTTCAGTGACTCCTGTCCTTTATTCCGCCAAAAGATTCCTTCCTATGGAAAGCTTTTTGAAAACTTTTTGAACCTATTGAAACCAACCCTGAGTTTCTTTGTTGCCCCAGCTAATACTGACTTCAGCCCCAAAGTACTAGTTGAAATAGATTCCTTGTCTTCCCAGAGTGGAAATGTCTTCCTGCCCCAACAGGAACATATGCAGGACCCCACCTACATCTTGTGCCCGGAAGCAAGCATTCCTTACTCCACAGGCAATTACATCTCTATATTCTTTACTCTGGGAGCACATGCTCTCATTTCCAACCCGCTAACCCCAAATCGTCTGGAATACATAAACCTAGGTAGCATCACCAACTTTGGGGTCCACACAACCCAGTAAATGCCTCAATGGAGAATATCTCCCACCCGTAACATAGTCATTCCCAAAGAATGGAATATAGAGAGAGTTTCCCTTCAAGAAGAGGACATTGACCTGCTTCCTTGCTTAGATTCAAGACTGGCAAAAGATGGGCCTCTTGTTCCACTCTGGTAGTGTTGCTCAGTCTCTGGTGTCTCTTTTGCCTGGGGCCTGTGCCTTCTCCTACTCCTGGGGCCAAGGAGACTGAGATTAAGCCATTGTGTCCCAGGTGTGTGTCTAGGATGGAGAAAGCGGCAGCTGTGAAACTTCACGTTACTGTAGCACAGAGGTCACCCTGCTGAAGGCGGAAGCTTACTGCATCAGTATTTGTATGACACTCACTACTAGGACTTCTCCCTCTTCAGCTCTGCCCCAAGGCTGGGACTCTGTCATTGTTAAGCCTTCCTTTTGCTCATTGCTCCAATCACCCGATTCTCTTTCCCTCCTGGTATCTATTGCTGTCCTACCTAGCTGGGTCACTTCACTTAACCTTGTACTTTCTTGGGAAACAGCCAAGTAGATAGCTTGTAGCTAAGTGCTCCTAACTCCACAATCAGTCCTGGCACTAGGACTGAGCTGGAGGGGTATAGTCCCTGCCTCCCATCCTGCTGTTGAAGGGAAGGAGCTGAACTCTGCAGGAATGCCCTAGTGCAAGGCTGGTCCCTTTTCCCACCCCCTTCTCACCTCCCCCAGGCAGCTGGGAACAACCTCTCCCTTTGTTTGAGCTTCTTGTACAGAATAATCCTCCTTATGGACAATGTATTCTCTGTGCCTTGTGGACACAGGAGCCGTGTGTGAGCTGATCCCAGCACCAGGCAGGACGGAGGCTGAATCCTTCCAAACGCCCACCCTAGGTCAACTCCTGATTACTGTCCAGAGAAACTACTAAGGGATGTACATTTTATTCCGTCTATTCCAGATTTGTGGGGATAGCCTACTGAAGTTTAGCAATGGGCCAGGGGCGGTGGTCCCTTTTTGATCCAGTCCTGAGGGTTCACCATACCAGCCTCTGGAGGCTCAATGTGGCTCTGGCCTGGCAGCCTTAAACACACAGAGGCTAACACTTGGATAGGATTTGCCACTCTGGAGATGCGGCTTTCTAATTGGAACAGAAAGCGAGCTCTCCAACCTGCTGACAGGGCCATGGCACCCATTACTTCAGCATGTGTTTTGGCCCACAGGACAGACTTCCTCTCTTCTTCCCTTTAATTTCCCTCCCTTTTGTTCTGGAGCTCCTGTGTGTTGCTGAGGCAGATCCTGGATCTCTGTTGTGGTTTCTTGTTGAGTTCTCATGCTCTCAAGAAGTCACCTACCATTTGGACATGGCCGCTTCTCCAAGAACATCATGGACAAGGCCCCTGACTTCCCTGGGCCACAGTTTTCTCACCTGGGTGATCCCAGCAATCCTTCCTAGCTTTTAAGTCTCTGGCAATGATTCTCAAGCCTGTTTGTCCCTGGGCATTTTTTGTTTTCCTCATTGCATGACTATGTTACTATAGGCCAGATTTTTCCAAGATCAGCCCCCAAATCCCTTGAACCCCTGTAGACTCTTCCTAAAGTTCCCTGTCACCTACAGCTTAAAATACTGACATCCCTCTAGACCACTTCCCTAAAATCGTCTTCTAGCTTTCACTAGTTCTTTAGTGAAAATTCATCAAAGAGGTGGTAGGTTATCGAGATACATGCATTAAATGTCAGAAGTCACCATCCCACTCTTGGGCATCCCTCTCTCTGGGCAAGAGTCATGTACTGGAGAGACTCCTCCAGTGAAAACAGTAAATTATGCTTTTCTATGTGATGATAACGTCCCCTACTGAATCAAATTCACGGGGCCCTGGGCTGCTCCCCTTCCTGCTTACCCTCAGCCTGGAGGGCCACTGCCTTCCTGGCTCTCACCCGAGTCTCACTCGTTTCCGGTCATTTTGATTCTCCATCTTCTCTCACCCATCCTCATTCTTGTTACTAGTTTCTCTGGGCTCCACCCACTTTCATGGCTCTGGTTAGTGTCCTTCCATGTTAATCCTTCTTGACCCCACGTCCCCACTCACTGACTTACAGCCACTATGTTGAATAAAAGCCTACCATCACTGTCTTCTTCTACACCCCCTCTTCACTCTTCAGCCCCACTTCCCCCATTCCTCTGAACTGCCCTGTCACAGGTTACCGTTGACCTGATGGCTAAGTCCTGACTTTTTTCAATCCTTATCTTACCGTATCTTAATGGCATTTAACAGCTGACCATTACTTTTTACCTCTTTCTCTTCACCAGCTCCTATGTCTCTAACCATTTCTTCTCTGCAGCTTTGGGCCTTCTGTCCCTCTGCCTGCTTCTTGAATATTGTTATTCTCCAGGACTCTCTTTTCTTATTCTACCTGCCATCTCTCTGACCACCACCTTTACGTACATGACTCAAGTTTTATTTTCAACCCAGACCTCTTTGCTGAGCTGCAGATGCCTATTGGCTATCTCTGCCCATATGATCCACAAGTACCTCAGGTTCTGAATGTCCAAATCCAATCATCTTTCCCTCCAAATCCATTTCTTTTCTAGTATCCAGTGTTGACCCAAGCCAGGTCTATGGAAGCCAACCTAAACTCCTCCCGCCTTCTGTGTCCCAGTCCCACAGCACCAAATCAAATACTAAATCCTGTCAATTCTGTCTCTCCAGTGGTACCCATACATCCTGCCCTGCAGTGCAGACCCTGGGCCTCTCACCCTCAAAGTATTGTTCAGATTCCCTGTGCCCCGTCTTACCTACTTCAACTCATCTTCCATATGACTGCCAGATAGATCTTTTTGAACTGCAGTTCTGATCACATTACTCCCTTGATAAAAATCCTTTTGTTAGTTTCCTCCCCGTGTTTCTCAAACTGGGGTCCACATACCTGGTA